AAAATAAAAAAATCTTTGAAAAGTCTTTAAATTTCTTCATAGTCTTCTTCTGCATTGCAAATTAAAAAAACAACTGCCTCACATATATCTAAATAAGTAATCCATACATTTACTTTATGAATACATGTGTGCATTTATAACCCATTTGCGGGCAAGTTTTTTTTTTTTTTTTTTTTTTTTTTTTTCTAGTGTATGTTTTGTTTCTTCTTCTGATTGTTTTTGACATGGAATGACAACCATGCTTTATTGTACTTTGATCTATGTTCATTTTTAGAATACTATTATTACTTAATTGACTTGAATAAATTAATAAAATAAATAATTAAACAATAATGAACGAATCCACAGTGAACAGAACAGTTTCACAGTCACTGGCCTGTGAATCTGAATCTGTTTCCACAACCTAATATGGCAAACTACGAAAGAAACTAGTTTTAACCAACAAATATTATTGTATTTAAATCATTTACATTGCGAATGAACGAGTGACTGATGTTTGATGTGAAGTAGCTTTGTAGTAATTGCCCGAGCGAACGATACACCGTAACTGGTATGCCGTCTGGGTGTCTACTGCGGCCTTACACTACGCTACGCTAGATCGTTACCCTATCCCAAAAGTCTTTTTTCTAACCATCATGGCAAATGTCCTGTCTGTGTAATAGTTATTTTCAAATTCTACGGGATGCCGATGATTTGACGAATACTTATACAATGTACCAAATACAAATACCAAATGAAACTTACAGGCGTAGTGAGCAAACAAACATGGCCAGAAAGCTAGTGGGTCTTAGCTATTCTAGGAGAAACAACAGTGATTTTAAATTAAAAAAAACACCCAAAGAACACAGATTCTTTCATTTGTTTATGCAAACTGTGCCCCAGACTGTGACATTTACGGGGTTAAGTCGGCACCGAGGAAATACAAGTCATGCCGGTCTTGCATCGATCTCGTTTTGAAAATTGTGTAGTACTACTCACTACAAAATCAGAACAAATTTATCTCTCTGGGATGGTAGACATACCCCCATTTCATTTGTCGCATTTGCTTGGATAAATCGCCCCCGGTTAACAGGGTGACCTAGTCTGGAGGCCACCTGGACAGGGCATAGGTTGCAAAATCTAGAGGCGCGTGTACTAGATGGAACGCTCAGAGTAGACGATGATATCCTCACAAAATTGTCTGATTTTGATATTGAACTCCACTGTTATTGGCAATAGACCGTTTTATTTGATGTTGATTTTAGTATTAAATACTTGTTATCTAACAATTTCCTCTCTTTTTAAATAATTTCTTCTTTATTTGTTTTCAAAAACAACATTGTATTCATATCCATGGCATAGGGCCTTGTTGCTCAATAATGGGATACATTATTGTGAATAATCTGCTGCAATGACGAAATAAAATCCACTGGTATTGATAATTCTATAATATAATAATGAATAAATCTTTATTTGAATATTATGTAATTCAATAGAATTTAATTAAATGGCTTTATTTTTCTGAAACTGAATTTTGGATACGGTTTTGGTTCCATGTTTTATAGACAATCTCTTTTCTACGTGTGGCAGCATGTGAGAGAGTTTGCACCACATTGGGTTAAATATACCACTATTGCGAAGGTTCGAGAGTTAAGGCAAATGTCAAGTAGATATCGATGGTTGCTAGCGCTACCACAGTCATACTTAATTGTTTTCTATTCAGCATTTGATGCAGGGCTGCGTAACCACACTTGTGAATTGTTCCTTCTTGTCAATATTGTGTGTTATATGCCCAAGATTGAGATAATGTCCCCTAGTTATAGTGTCTTGAATGTATCTGCATCATTTAAAGTAAGCTGTTGGAACCCCTCAAGTATGACAATCCCAATTTATAACCTTTCCAACTGTTTTTTTTCCACAGTGTATTCTGGATGATGATAGTGTGGTTATTGAGTTGATTATTGGTCAACTACTAGTAGTTATTTAATTTGTGTTTAAAATGGATATGTCTGACCTTCTATGTAGACATGTATCCAGTTTACTCAGGTTTAGTTTAGTCACATGTTACCCATAGCAACCATTAGATTTAAATATTGCAAAAAAAAAAAAAAAAAAAAAATGTAGTATCTTAAACAAGAAGTGATACTGTACTTAATATGCAAACCTGATGAGTTTTAGTATTCTGTGTTTGATTGGATAGTACTTTTAGACTTACAATTGGGTGCATTGTACTCTTAACATTGTACAAAGCGTTTTACTACGCTATTGTACTAGACTCTATGCTATCAAGTATCAGTTATCAGTAGTATGTGACCAAGCCATAGAATTCTGTTTGCTATGCATTCTGGGTGAATATCACAAGGGGTGTTATAATGTGTTAATGTAGATATCCATTACCTAATGGAGGACGTTTTACCTGTTCCAAATGTGTGCAATTTTAAAGTATTTAACATTTTTTTCATTCAAAATGTTGTTTGATTTACACACATAGAAAATTGACAATTTTTCCACCTTGTTTAACAATCTCAAGTTATCAGTGGATGTATTAAACATTCAATATAATAGTATATTGTTTGTAAATATGTGTTAAACACCGATAGCATTGTCATAGTTTGGGTGCGACTACCCATCCTCATCTATCATTCAGTAAACTTTTATTTGGTTTTCTTTTTTATTGAAAACTCCTTGTAATAATGTGAAATTACAATAGACATGTAGTTCATTCTTTTAATGAGGAATCAGTAATCACAATAAAACCCAGTGAATATGATCAAAATATTATATTTCATAATATATGACTTATTTTGACTATAGACGCACGTACCTAAAATCTGTATTATAAGCTGCATCTCATATAGAAATCGCACCATTTTTTTTGAACATTTGAGAACAAAAAAATCAACATTTCTCATGCGTGTAGATGCTCAAATAGAAACCGCTTTCCGTCTGTTGCATTGTACCATTTTAATAGAAACCGCAGCTTCCAATACAGATCTTACAGTACATAGAGTAAATATGGTTATTTAATTAATACATTTACAGTATTTGTTGATTGGCTCTTTTGGTTTCATATATACATGTAGTACCAGTGGTAATCTTCCAGTCCTATCTACAAATGCGTATGAATGGGTATTAATTTTCTCATTATATATGTGCCCACAACCCTATAGGATCTGCACCAAATACTGAAATATTAGTGTATTACAATCACTCCACCACTTTCCTAATTGAACTAGATGCTTTCTCTTCGTACATGTTGATCTGAGCAACAATCAAAGTCACTAGTTTAAAGTTGATACAGGTCTCATACCTTTGCCAACCACCTGCTTTTTAATTTAAACCACTATGGTGCTAATAATTTAAATACACTATTTTACATAATTATTCCCAAAAGAAGTTGTAATGATTAACATACTGTAGATGCATTCATTATTCAGTGGGTTTAAATTTTGTTGATTAATAAAATCCTCTTAATTATAAAATCTACGTGAACATGTAAAATAATAATAAAACTCATTGTTTTCTTGACGAATTTATGAAAAACACAGTGAATATGCTCAAACTTAAATAGTGAAAATAAATAGTTTTATTGTACTTTTGAAACAAACAAACAATAAACTATTGTAACATTTACACCTGTGTGCTGGTAAAGCAAAGCACTGTGGCTTTATCACCACACAGTTTGTATCCTTGTATCTGTCAGGGCTTAAAGTTCAATTTACGTTAAAGTTTGATTATTGAAGATTTAACCATACATGCTGTAGCTGCTATAGTTTCATGGCCTATGAAGACAGTGACTGTGTTATGTGTATTTTGGATTTCTTTTTTGCTTACCATTGATATATTTACGTCTGCAAAGTATAATTTCTTCAAATTTAATCAGAGAGACCTTAACCCTTTGAACAAAAAGCTTTTCCCACCTTTCACAGTAGTCAATGAAAAATTCTGATCAATTTCAACAAAAATTACAATAATTTATAGAAAAATATCTGTAAATATACAAAATATTGGACCATAATTTTGGTGCCTACTACAAAAGTATATCCTTATAAGTATATCCTTAAGTATTGGATATTTTAGCAATGAAGTATATACATTTAATAAGAAGTATGACATTAATTGTGGCATGTGCTACTGGCATTTGCCCAAGTCATTAAACTTTGAAAACAAGAAAATAAGTTCATGAATTTAATGAATCAAACCAGTAAAATAAATAAAGTTGATAAAAACTTATATGAAATATATATTGTCAATTAATAATATTAGTAACTTTTTTAACTCTAGAAGAACAATCTGGATGTAATGTATGGTAAAATGTAAATACATTACAACAGTAAATATAAATTTAATACAATGTCATGTAACTAAAGGAAAAAAAAAAATGATGACTTGATTCCAGTGGCTTACAGCAAGTCTCAGAAATAATGGGGCAGCCAATCACTGGTAGCTACTTTCAGCCGCATCCACAGTCTGTATTGCAGTAGGGAACACATAATGCTTTCTGTCTGGCACATGTCTGGGATTTCCCATTTCAAAGGTGATTTGCTGGAAAATCCCTTGCATACAAACACCTCATTGCATACGAACATAGAACACTTCACCTATTCGAATACAAGGCTGTCGCTGATTAGCTCCTAAAAGTATAATGATTCTTCCTTTTCCGTTTTCATATTAGAGACGAAAAGAGATGATTTGCTCAGAGATGAAACCTATTATCGTATAAATTCCAGCAAGTTGTTATAAATTAGTTGTTCTGCGGTGTAACCTTGTCAAAACCTCATACTCTGTTTGAGATCTGTACATTATGATTCACCTGTTAGTAAATAATCTACTGAATTGCAGTACACTAGCTTTCCAAAAGGGTTAAATTTGTCATTTACAGCCTGGTGTGGAGGACAATATATTGCAATATATTACTGTTATTTTATCATTTCAACCAGTCCCTATGCATGCCCACAAATCATAAACAATTGTGTCATTTTTATATAATACATGTACATCTCTGTTTTCTTTAATTTCAGATCCTGTTTGGTATCAGGGATGTTATTCTGAACAAGAATCATCTCTTGTTTTGACCTACACAATTATAGATAGTAGTAATGAATTGACAGCTGCCATTTGTTGTAATCAATGCAGACAAAGAGGGTGAGTTTACCATGCAACTACTCCCTGAGAATATTTCTCCATTCCCTTGATACAATTTGTTAATGGACCATTTTCTGTTCACTGCAAGATCCTGTGCTATGTTTGAAATTGAACATAAAAACAGGACAAACAAAGGTCATAGCGTCGTAGTGGAGACAAACATCATAATTGATTCGACAAACGCAAAAGTATTTTGGGGGGTATTTCCATGCTTAATAATGTGCTGTACACATTTGATGATGGTCAATTTCGATGAAGTAATGGTATTCAAACGCAATATTCCCCTGTCAAAGATCAGCCTTTTGATGTGAGTTACGAAATAAAGAAATTTGAGTTCAAAATCAAATCGTTTGATTTTTGTGGCAGACGTTCGGTGCCCATCTTTCATGCAACTCGCGAGATTCCACAGTTGAATGGAAAATCACCTATTAGAGGAAGTTAATCTGTAATAACACTAATATCATTGTTGTACAGATATTTTTAACATCTGCTATTTTAGGTTTCAGATATTTATAGGTTAAATATAAGTATTAAAATGTAATGAAAATTACAAAAAATATGTATTCCAGGATAATAATATTTTGCCTAATAATAAACTGTAAGTAGGGAATTTATTGGTTTGGGCAGAATGCTGCTAGGTATACAATGTAATATTCAAATAGAAGTACTGTACAGAGTTCTCTGGGTTTTATGTTCGCTAATTTCACTGATAGCTAGCTATGCTAAATTCAACTTAATGTGTTGAATTTATTGTGTCCTTCACAAATCCGTATTTTTAAAACCTAGGGATATGCCCCCCCCCCCCCCAGTGTATCTGTATTTGGTCTGTGTGCATGTTAACTTAAAATAAAAATAAAATGCAAGACTGCTTCATTTTTTAGAAACCTTAAACCAGAAACAAATCTATTTAATTCTTGGTCATATCAACTAAAATTAAACTTGGTGAATATTTCCCATTCTATATAGTACATGTACATGTACAGACTATATAAAAGTTAGCAATGGATAAGTTTATATAACATGTCAGGCTTGACCTTGTGACTTATTGCCCTAAATCCTGTACAGATGGCAGTGTTTGACACAATTGTACCTTATTACATTAGTAGGGAAACCATGTTGTTTTCCTTACTTTGATATGAAATCCAGTCTACTCAACACATGTTCTGTGAACACTTGATATAGTTCCTGCTGTGCGTTGTTATTTTTATCACAGTGAATGATTCTAACTGGGCATGTTTTGATTGCTGTATTTACATAACATTGAAGATTGCTATGAAACAATAATTGTAATTTACACATGCATCACTTAAAATGTTTATTGCTCTGGCTCTACTTTATATATGCTACTCATTATACAAGTTAGCATACGTATCTATGCTGTCTGTTGCAAGTTGCAAGGTTTGGATGGCTGGCAGTCTTTGCTAAAGTTCCCTGGAAAGACCTGACTGTGTGTATTAACACTGCCTTACAGTGTAATCAACTCAGTTTATATAAATAATAATTTCTATTATGACATCACTAAAAGTAAGAAAATGAGTAATAAATTAAAAAGACATTTGACAATGATTTTATGCAGAGCTTTAGTTTTGTACATATTATCAATAGCAATTTTAAATTTATGTATATCATCACACATAAAATGTATTAAAGTGAATGAATATTTCAGATTTTGTAAAAAATTTGGAGCAGTGAGCTAAAGTTGGAAGCAAAGAGTGAATTTCAATGTAAAAAATGCAAAAACTTTAAAGAGAATACTGCAAATATTGAAGCCAACGATGAACAATTGCTATGAATACGGTTGGGAAGACACGCTGACAACACTCAACCAAAGGTCTTTCAGTTTGCAAGAATCTTTCATTGCTTCATAGTCATGTGCATGCACACTGTACATAAAGATATTTTGACCATAGGTACACCCCTGTTACATAATCCCCTACAATGTGTGTGCTACTATAATAGAGAAAATCTGTGATATAATATACGAGGATGAAAATGCATTTTCTAATATCAACCGATTACATGTATAACATATTTCTATGTTTGTTTTCAGATACCAATATGCTGGCATATTAAATGGTACTCAATGTTCTTGTGGTTATTCCTTTTATTCAACATTAACTCCATTAGATGAGGAATTGTGCCATGCAAGGTAATCTACATCATTACATCATGATCTGTACTTGCGAATCACTCACTCATATATCACCACTCTGATATGCAAATGAGCTAAAACTAAAATTTAGTATTCTTTGCAGTTGCTGCATAAGTTTAATTGGCACATTGTATTTGACAATGTTTATATCATTATGTTGAGTTTTTTAATTGATATTAAAAATATGGTACATCTTACACCATGCAAACTTTTGCCTGTACAGTCACATATATTTTGTATCTGTTTAATACTATATTTTTGTCAACGATGATTTCATTATGAATAAAATAATCAAAAATCATTTCAATGACCAGGGCAAAGAAAGAATCAGTTTTATCCTCAGAAGTTTTATCCTAGAAATTTTAGATTTTAAGACTACACATAAAGTTTTGAGACAGTTGCATGCTTAATTCAAGTGCTTTTTTGACTGTGATCTGTTGGTAGACTTTATGAGAGATTTTGTAGAGTTTGAAACTTTATTTCAGTACAAGTATAAAATGTAAAGAAGAACTTTTTACAAACCTTGTGACCTGTATTGTAAACCATTTAATTTTCACTGCTTCACACTTTGACACAAATTGTACACTCACATAGTTATATGTATAGTTGTATCTAGGAGGTACTGTTACTTTGAAATACTGTAAAATGTTTATTTTGCATTGCTAGAAATTTTATGACATTTAAAGATTTTATGGCATTAATAAAGTCAGAGAATTTCACGAAAGTCACTGATACTCTGAGTCATAGGATCCCTGATAAATGTAAATTGCTATGAAATTTTGAAATTCTTGAAGATATGTATTTTCCAAAATTGTGATTTACAGTATTATGTCTCAATATTATACAACCATGTGGGGAATATGTCTTACAAAATATCAAGATGGTCAGAGTGAAATATTTAAGGAGACAAAAAATGCTTTTTACACCAAAATACAATGTGCAAGATTTCGACAAATATAAAATGGAATGTTTTCTTGAAGGTCAACATGACTTCATCATAGCATACCAAGTGATATGAAAGATTAGTATATGATGGGATATTTAACATCACCTGACACAATATACAATAAATAAACTAAATATATGATAAGAATGATAAGATCAAGTATCATTTTGTTGTGAATACTGACTGTGAACAACTGTTGGCTATATCATTATTATAATACTGTAAACATTACTTATTTGCTGGTTTTTAATTTTGCTAATTTTGCCGATTAGTTAAATTCCTTCCTTAATCAAATCCATGTGAACATATAAAATAACAATAAAACTAATTGTTTCTCTGCCAAGTTTGTGAAATTAAAACCCAGTGAAGTTGCTCAAAACATCAAAATAGTACAAATAAATGACTTTAAAGTATTACTTATTAATTTTCACTGGGTTTAAATTTCGCTGATTTACCATTTCAGGCATATTCAGTGAGTTTTAAATTCATAGTTTTATCATTTAGATAATGTGTTCTATGCTAAATTTTACATATTCACTGGGTTTTCAATTAGCGCATTTTCCAGTCAGCAAAATACCGGTAAGCAAAATTAAAACCCATTGAATAATTAATCCCTTCACAGTATTACTGTAAAATCTGTATTAGAAGCCGCATTCCTAATAGAAGTCACCAATATTTTTTTTTGAATTCTAATTTGTGTAGATGTTCTAATAGAAACCGCATCCCCTCTGTTGCATTGTACTATTTTAATAGAAACTGCAGCTTCTACCGGGGTAATACAGATTTTACAGTGCAGACCATTATATTTTGTTGTAAATCCTGTGGGAATTCCTTTCTTGGAAAAAAATGTAACTCTGCATTTTATATTGTAATTTGTATTGTTTTGACAGGTGCTTTGCTGATACAGTGCAGCCATGTGGAGGAGATAAAGCATTTAGTTTGTACTCAGTGTTAGGTCCCTACATAGTGGATGTGTCAGTTGAAGTGCCAAGATACACAGTTCAGCAGAATGATCACATAGTGGTA